AGTCTATCCTCAGCCCAGCCCAGATACCTTCTGGGACTCAGGGGCCACAGGACCCAAACGAATACCATGTACAGCTTGCTGGGGGGAGAGAATCTGCTTCGAGTCCCAGAGCTGAGAGGAAGCTTTGACCCAGGGCCATCACAGGACCCACCATGATAATGCCTTTCATGAAGAACCTGCCAGGAGGCCAACGTCCAGAGAATTTTGTCCATCTCCTCAAAACGGGTCCTGCCTCCTGTCTGGCTCACTCATTTCCACCCACCCCCTTTGCACTCCATCTTCCTCTTTCAGCAAAGTTTCTTTTCTTTAAAGTTAATTATATAAGTGACATTATGAATACATTCTGGGTCTAAATGTGTCAAGCAAAACAAAAAATGTTGAAGTCATGAGAGACACCCGCTACCCCCTTCGTCCCTGTTTTCAGCTTGGCGGGAGTTCTTGCAGACCTTGTGCTATGGCGTAGGCACAGATATGGGTGTGTGTGGGAGTTGTGGAGATGTCTCTGATGTACACATGTGGCGTCCGCTACTGTGCAACTTGCTTCTCCCATCTGACAATGCGCCTTTCCACATTGGACATTTAGAACTATTTCATCTTATTGACTGTTGTAGAGTATTCCACAGTTTAAACATAAAAGCATTATGGCACTGAGAAATCTTTAGATGGTTTTCAATTTTATTGTTTCTCCAACCAACCACAGGGGATCCGTATTCCCTCTGCTGTGAGCACAGGATACGGGCAGGATCAGGCTTGGGAAGGGAAGTGTTGGGCCTGAAGGCAAGGTTAGATGTCTGTGCCACCAGCCCCATTCCCGGGAGGGGCTCTCCATCATCAGACCTTCTCAGCCTTGAGGTGCAGAGCCTGGTACCAGCCTCACTCTCCCCTCCACCCACCAGTCTTGGATCAGAATGAGGCTGTTTCCCTGAAAGAACACCATTTCCCAACTAGACTGAGCATTCCCAAGGGGCCTCACAGGGCGTGTCTCTGGGGATACCTTGGCTTCTTACAGGAGGCGAGCCTGGGAGATTTAGTGACTCCCCTCACAGCTCGGAGCCCCCTCCTCAGTTTCCTAGGAGGAGCAGTGATGAGGACAGGAAGTCACAGTTCAGCAAATGTCCAGGGGGATGGCTTGGGACCCCTCTCCCCCCTGGCCACTGAGGGCCCCCACCTCGACCCCCTACCCAGGCCCACTGCACTCTGCAGTATCCTGTGAAGGCAGAATCCCCACCCGAAGCCCCATCTACACCGAGCAGCTGCTCCTGGGGTTCTGCCCCCAGCAAGGGAGCCGACGTGGTCCTTTCAAGCACCTGGAGCCAGCAATTAACACCTGCATGTCCGTCTCTGAGTTTTTTATAGAGCTGTAGTGAGACGGTTCTCCCAAGAGGAGACCATCAGACAGGGCACCTGGTTGGCCGAAGAGATGGTTTGAGCAGGCCGGGTGGGTGGGCACCAGTTGACCCCCATGTAAGACTGGTCCGTCCTCACAGAGGTGCAGAGGGCCAGAAGGAGCTCTGCCTCTCTGAGTCCTCGCTCCCATCCACCAGAGTGACTGTGTTTTCACCGCACTCTGCGATCAGAGAGCTCTGCAGAGGTTGTTAGTGCTCGCTTGTTGTTTATTAGTTCTCTCTACCAGCCTCTGAAGGGAGTTAGAGATAAGACAACTGGGACTCAAGAGAGAGGAACTGGTAAGTGGGCCCTGGCCGAGCACAGCTTCCTGTCTGTGTGCATCAGCCTTGTCAGGGGTGATGATCTGCTGGGGATGAGAGCAGGACCATGATGGCAACCACGCTGTCAAGGGCCTGAGCAGATGGGCTCAAGGAGGCCTCGGGAACAAAAGTCTTCCTGCCTGGGCCACCCATCAGCTCTCACATGCAAACTCTGACCTCCCTGGTATGGAAGTCCAGTGTGGCTTAAGGGCCTTGATCAGCCCCCTGCACCACTCCCAAGTCCCCCCACCCTCTAGAACCCCCAAAGTAGCCAAGGTGTTCAGAATTCAATGCTCTCAACAGACGTGCATTGAGCTCCTGGCCCCTTTCTGGGAACTGAGAACCAAGCAGAAACAGAACAAAGTCAAGTCCTGACCTCATCTGAGCCAGGGAGACACTAATCAAGGAACAAACAAACAATGTTGGTATTTCGGGGTGAGGGCTGCCAAAGAGAAGCACCGGCAGGATGAGGGTCAGAGAGCAGGACTGTGTCCTGTGGGGCTGAGGGGTGCTGCATTCAGTGAGGCTGTCAGGAGAGACATCCTTGAAGAGGTCACATGTGAGCGAAACCCGAGGGGAAGGAAGGAGACAGCCATGCAGACAGCAGACCGGGCTCCTTCTGGGCAGAGGGAACCACAGGTGCAAAGGTCCGGGGGCACAGTGTGCCTGGCAGGGAAGAGAGGTAGGAGAAAGACGGGTGAGTGAGCAGCGGAGCAAGGGGAGGAGGTGAAGCCAGGAGGTGGAGACGACAGGGGAGGTCACGCAGGGCCTGAGGGTCCCTCACAGATTCTGCTTCACAACACAGCTATGAGCTTTCTCTCAAACGAAAAGAAAAAAAAAACTGTGGCAAGAATTCCTGGAAGCTGGACAAAAGCAACAGATTCTTTTTTTTCTTTCTCTTTTCTTTCTGGAATCCTATCCTTGGTATCCTGGGCCACGGAGACAGTGTGGCCATTTCCTCTCCATCCCCGTCCTCCCTTTTCTCTCCTGCCTCCCTCCTCCTCCCCCAAACCTGCCCCTGACCTTGTCCTGAGCTGGCTTGCCGGCTTGCAGCGAGACAGCGGCTGCCTCCCGGCTGCAGGCAGGCACGGGCGGAGGACAAGGCCAGCGAGGGGACAAGAGGAAAGAGGCCCCGGGAGAGGCAGGCAACAGCACAAGGGCCGACGTCACGGGGGCCTCTGACCGCTATTCATTTCAGTCCCCAAGTGTCTCCATCAATAACCGTCTGCCACGACCGACCGGGGAAGGAGGAGCGGGGAGCGGGGAGGAGGGGTGATCTAGAGTCTGGCTGGGGAAGGATGACATGCAGTGGACAGAGGCTCCGTGGTACTCACAGCTCCTCCCAGCCCCGGACAGGCAGGAAGAAGAGGATGGGAAGGCGGAGAGCCCCTGGGAGCGCAGAGCTCTGTCTCCCTGCTTCCTTCTCCCCATCTCTGTGTCTCCCTCACACATACAGTTCCTTCCATCTCCTCTCTGAAGCTAGGAGGGAAGGGAGGCAGGACCAGTTTTTAAAATGGAAGAGGAGGATACCCGTGTGTGAAGTCGCTTCAGTAGTGTCTGACTCTTTGCAACCCCATGGACTGTAGCCCACCAGGCTGCCCTGTCCATGGGATCTCCCAGGCAAAAATACTGGAGTGGGTTGCCATTTCCTTCTCCAGAGGATCTTCCCGACACAGGGGTTGAGCCCACGTCTCTTGCGTCTCCTGCGTTGGCAGGCGCTTTCTTTACCACTAGCACCACCTGGGAAGGGAGCTTTTTACTGGGTGATGGAGAAGCCAGCAACTGCAGAGGACGCTGGGAGCACTTTATGCCCAGGGAAATGAGGAGCTACACAGAGCCTGGTGATAAGGCTCCTACCAGCCTCCTACAAGAGGGCCTGGGATCCTGGACCTGCCACAGAAATTGCCACAAGGACACTCAGGAAATAATTGTTAAATGGCCACGAGAATGACCACTTGGCTAGCTGTGGGCAGTTAAGAAGGGAGGTTGACTTAAACTGGACCAGACCAGTCAAGGTGGCTGCCTGGAGGAGGTGGACCTTGACCAGATTCTTGAAAGACGGATGGGATTGGGAGATGTGAAAATGTAGAGTGTGTGAGAAGACTGTGAGAGCAAAGGAAAGGTGGGGACAGTGGTGAACTCAGATGGTTGGGCGGTCAGATCATGGGGAAGAGAGTGACATATGGGAGAGAAAGAAGAGAGTGAAACAGAGACAGTGGCCGGTTTGCAGAATGCCTTCTCTAGGGCCGCGGGTAACTTCAGGAAGTTTGAGGCCACTGCCCCCACATGAAACTCAAGCCTGCTGTTGGCTGAAGTTGACTTTTTGACCTTCCCTAAGGCCCTAGGTGCCCTAAGACACCCTCAGCCACGTCTGCGGGCACAGGGAGAAGCCTTGACACGGAGAAATTTGAAGGAAGTCCCCAAAGACTCTCCCATACACAGGCGTTCTTTTTGCCTTGTCGCTGGGCCTGAAGGGCCAGCATTAAAAAGTCATCCCTTGAGTAAGGCACCGTGCTCTGTAAAATCCAGATTTCCTGGTAAGGTGCTGTCAGAATCACGCAAAGGGAAAACGCAACGGGACTTTGCAGACCCTTCAGTCAACTCCCTCTGTTCACATGAGGGGAGACTGAGGCAGCGCAGGGCTCTGCTGGAGTCCCCCAGGGAATTAGAGACAGGGGGTCTGGTCTCCAAGCCCTCCAGGAGGGGGGGTGAAGATAGCACTGCAGACGCGACAGCCAACTGGGGCGGGGGACACACGGACAGCCCGGTTCACTTCATTAGGAATAGCCTGGCCTGGGGTCCTCCTTACAGATGGAGGCTTTATTTGAAAGGCCTGGAGGGTCCCTGCCTCATCCCTCCTAAGGGGGCCAGAACAGGAGGAGTTCGTGATCAAGAGTGACCAGAGGTGCTGGGGGTGCAGGGTAGAAGCTGCCCCTTTCTGGGAGGTATGGGGCTGGAGCTGAAATATCAGAGCACCCAGACGGAGGCAGGCAGGCCGCCCAGGGGTGCGGGGACCGTCAGAGACCCGCGGGGAGAGGGGGCGTGGCAGGGGGGAATGCTGAGTGGGGAGACTTCGCCCAAGGAGCGAAAGAGAAAAGCAACGAACGAGAGGGACGAAAAGCAGGCACCAGGGAAAACGAGGAGACAGGAAAGCTCGAGTAGAGCGCACGGGAGAGAGAAGAGAGGTGGGGAGAGGGACGGAGAGCGGGGAGGGGCCGGAGCCGGGCGGGCGGGCGCGTGGGCGGCCGGGGGGCGCCCCCACTGACCCTTCTCGGCGCTTGCTTCCCTCCCCAGGCTGCGCCTTCCTCACCTACTGCGAGCGTGAGTCAGCGCTGAAGGCCCAGAGCGCGCTGCACGAGCAGAAGACTCTGCCCGGGGTAAGTGGCGCCCGGCGAGGCGCGAGCGACGGGCGCGCCGACAGGGGGCGACTTCGGGAGGCCGGGCGGCGGCGCGGCCGGCGAGGGGAGCGAGGGCCTTCGCCCCGGATATGGGGCGCCGCCCTTTGGGTCCCCGGCGGCCGCTAGGCGCCGGGCTGCGAAACGGCCGCGTGGGCGCCGAGCCCGGACTTCGCCTGGCGGCCCGCGCACACGGCCGTCCAGGCCCGACGGAACCCCGGGCAGGGGGGACGAACTTGGCCGCTGCCGCGAAGCCGGGCGCGGCTTCTCCCCTGGCGCTCCCGGGCGCCGCCGATCGGGCTTCGGCTCCGCGCGCTGCCGGCGCGGGCGGCCCGGGGTGGGGACGCAGGATGTCCGGGCCCACTGAGCGGGGCCGCCGGTGGCGGAGTCGCGCGAACACCCGCCGATCTCCGTCGGACACTCGCGATTCCTGGGGTGGGGGCCGGGCCGGGGCGGGAGGGAGCGCCTACCCGCCCGGGCGCGGCGCCGCGAGTGAGATCACCGCGGTTTATTTAAGGAGCCAGCCCTCGTCTTTGATAAACTATCGCGCCTCAGCCCTGGTTTATAGCTTCTGTGCGGGGGAGAAGAGAATTATTTATGGCCCCCCTAACTGGGTGTGATATCAGCCATGGCTATTATCGAGGCTAGTTCATCACCATAAAATAAGAAGTGTAGACCGGGTCAAGGGTCTGCGCGGTCTCTCCTGTGGGTTCAGAGAGATGGGGGCGGGGGTGGGAGGGGGGGAGATATACGGCTGGCCGAGTATCTAAAGATAAATGGAAAGATGTGAGCGTTTGTGGGCATAAAGAATTTTAAGATGTACCTTGTTTAAGCTTATACAATGGACACTGCAGGGAAGCACGTGTGTTCTATATGTATGCTCACCAATATTTACACATGCATGTTTACATTCTTACCAAGCAAACCGTATGTAAACACACGTTTCTATTTCTGCCCTGCAGCGGGAAAGGTTAACCAGGTAGACAGAGAGAAAGCCCAACCCGGGTCGGGGGCAGGCTTCCTTTGCATCAGAGAGCCTTCTTTACCCGTTTAGGGGTGGGGAGGGCCTTCCTTCCATTAAGACAGCCTTTGTACTGTGTTTGTTATTTGTGATTGCAAAGCACGGGGCTGAGTCATCTTAATAACACACCCGCGGATGCAAATGTATGGAAATCGTGCACCGCTCAGGTTTTTGTGTGGAGCCCAGCTCTGGCACGGTGGTCGTTCCCCAGTTGGTTTTTTAGTGGCGCGGCTACATGCACATATATTATAGTAATTACTTTCTGGGTGCCCTCTGTAAGATGGCAGAAATATGCTCCACATCGCCCCATGTTATGTGTGAGGCATAAAGCCATATTGTAAGATAATCAAAGGCTTCTGAGAAAGGCTTGTGCTGATTAATAAAGTGTTTATGGTACTTTGTTTTGGGGGAGATTGTGATAGATATTTTAGAGCCACCCAAATGGAATAGAAAATACCACGTTGTTATGGGAGGCCCTTCATCAGCTTGAGAGAGATTGCTGGGGAGTTTCGTGATGGCTAAAAGCCTGGAATTAGATGGGGAAACAGAGAAGCTGGGAGGGGGAGGCTTAGGGTTTTGAAGAGGGAGAGGCTGGGAACTGGGAGAATTTCAGTAGTAAGTGTGGATTGTTCAGGATCTAACATTAACTTGTGGTTGTTTATTTTACATATAATAGAATAGCTAAATGATGGAGTGTATTAGTTCTTTAATAATTTATAGAAATACTTTGATGTTGCAGTAATTACATTAAAGGTCACATATCAAAGGTAATTTGGTTGAGCAGCTGTGATGGTTTCTCAGAAGCAATCAATACCGCTGTCCGTGGTGCTGATTTCACCAAGGGGCCTGCCAGATTAAAGAAGGCTTATTACCAGACAGAAAGGCCCAGGGGAAATCAGCAGCACATTGGAGCAACGCGCCTGCCCCCCTTCCACCGATAATTAACACTGTTCCCCATAATCTGTGCTAATCCTTCATACTGGGAGATCCAGTGGCATTTTTCTGAAACCACAAAGACGAGTTGGGCAAGTTTGGAAGAAAGAAAAAAAAAAGTGAATGTATGTTGGGAGGTGGGAGGGGTGAGGAGAGAGGCCACCAGTGGAACCAAAACACAGCCCAGAGTCCCCTGGCGGTGCCTGGAAGGCTCTCCTTTCTTCAGAGGCCCCACAGGGAGACTGGGAGACTCGAGGCCTCCAAGAGTCCATCACAATTCTCGGGGCAGGCACAGCCCACAGCAGGAGGGACAGGGAGAAAAGACAGGATTGCAGCTCAAACTTCCCAGGGCACATTGTCCGTGCACAAACTCACATGGAGATTAGTGAAAAACAAAGTGACCAGATTTTAAAGCGGAGTCATTTGGATTCCAGAAAGCAGGACTTGGTGTCATTATTGAGATTGAGAAAGTGAGCCGCTGGCAAATGCTGGGACAGGACCAAGCAAAGTGCTCCCACCCGATCATATAATGGGTGTCCCAACCAGCTGAAGCAGGCTGACTGGCTGCTTGGTTAAGGAGCAGAGAGAGGCCACTTCTTGTCTGGAGTCACCACCCCAGGTGCCCTGGTGAGTGCACTCCTTGTCTGATGAAGAAGAAGAAGAAAATTGAAAAAAAAAAAAAGAACCTGGAAACTGGTAACCTCAGCAATTTAGGCACTTTTCCAGACTTCAAAATCCATTAACATCAATCAATTAAAATCAGTCCTCCACTTTCTCACTGGAGAGAGGCAGAGGGGAGATGGGACTGGCAGCCCATTCTGTTTCCCAGCAAGTTGCAGGGCTAGTATCCTGTTGACAGCAGGGAACACTGCCTTGGTTGTCATCTGTGGGCACACACACGCACACCTCCACCACCAAAAGCAATAACCAAACACCAGAGACAGAGCTAGAGACACCCCTCCCACGTGTCCTCATGTGGGGACGGGGAAGAGGAGCTGACATTTCTGTTAGGATCAGTGGAAGCTCAGAAACCACATTACAGTGGCTGTTTGTACAAGTCAGAGGTCAGTATCCCTGGGAACCAGCCTAACCAAAGCCTCTGGGATGGCTGATGGAGTCAGCCCTGGACCAGTGTTACAAATGGATTATTGTTTCTTAATTTGGCATGCCTTCAGTAAAATGAGATTACTGAGCCACAAAGCCTCATCAGGGTCCCTTCGAGCAGGGTCTTCTGCCAGCATCCAGGAAGTGATTCTGCTTTTCTGAAACTCCCCACCTCTCCCTCACACTCAACTTCACTCTCTCTCCTGACCCCTTGCCCTCTTCAGCCCACCTTCTTCCATCCCCAGTGTATGTTCATCATTTATAGGGTAACCATCCACATGGTTTCTCAACCTATCGACAAGAATTTCCTGTGTGTGTGCCGAGCACTGTGCTAGGCATCCAGGCAGACACGGAGATAAGAAAATTGCATTCCCACCTCTCTTGGAGCTGTCCATCAAGTTGGAGACAGAAGTCACACATACATCAGTGATACAAGACAGCACGCTATCATAAAGTGGGCAGAGTAGAAAATAGCTCAATGATAACAGTTAATACTTATTAAGCACTTACTATCTGACAAGTGTGATGTGAGCAGGTTACCCCCATTACCCCATTTTATCTTCACAGCCACCCTGTGGGGAAGATGCCATGAGTATCCCCCATACATGAGGAGACCCCAGACTAGAGAGATTAAGCAGTTTGTCCAAGGTCACACAGTCAATAAATGGCCAAGAAAGGACCATCACCAGCCCTGCTACCAAAACCCAGGATATCTACCTCTCCTTTCTAGGGCCACCAGTTGCTTTAGAGGGTACCCGGAAAACTATGGGGTCATTGTTAGTCACTCAGTCATGTCTGATTCTCTGCGACCCCATGGACTGTAGCCCACCAGGCTCATCTGTCCATGGGATTCTCTGGGCAAGAATACTGGAGTGGGTAGCCATTCCCTTCTCCAGGGGATCTTCCCAAGCCAGGGCTTAAACCCAGGTCTCCTGCACTGCAGGCAGATTTTTTACCATCCAAGCCACCAGGGAAGTTATCAGGAGTTACTGAAAAGTGTGTTCAGGATCTGGGCAAGGTGGCACTAGAAAGTTGGAAGGAAGGTGGGGGTGTCAGATAAGAGCAGTGGTCTGAGAACCAACCTAAAAGACAAGGTGCCCACGACAGGCCAGGAGCCGTGAGCCAGGCAGGAGAGGTCTGCTTGGACAGCTCCCTGGGGCGTGAGTAGGCACAGGAGGCCTCTCAGAAGAATTCCGTTCCTTAAAATAGGCCCCTGCTGCTCAATTCCAGCTCCCCCTGCCTTTGGGACTTCGCTGGGAATTGTCTTCCAGGAAGAGCCCATATGTTTCCAAAGTTGGGATTGCAGGCCCTCTGGGAAGAGACTCTGATCAGGGATCCAGTTTCCGTGGGCAGCAGACCAGGTTCCTCGCCAGGGCTGCCGAGGGGCCATGAGATGGTCCAGTTAGCAGGAGCCTGGAGCAGGGAGAAGAGGGGGCGGGCAGGGGGAGGCGGGTGGGGGCGAGTGGGAGCTGTGTCTGCTTGGTAAACATTAAAGTTCCAATTCACTAGTTAAAGATTGGCTTTTGTGCCCTGACTCCAGCAATCTGAGAATACAAAGCAAGCCCGCACACTCCTCCGTGGCCATCCCCCACCCCCACCCCGGCCCCGGTTCAGCCTGGTCAACAAGCGCCATCGCTGCCATCACACCTCCCCATTCGGGTCCCCGCTGCTCAGGACGCGTCATCTCCATGGACATTCAATGTGACCTTCTTTGAGTTTTCCAAGAAAGATGTTAAAATGGAAAATTAAAAAAGGGAAAGACTCAACTGGATTTCCAGAACCGCGGTCTCGGGGTGCCCTCCTTGCCTCCCCTTCCCCCCATGTTTGTTTCCTTGAGGCCCATCTCCATCTTTCTGCTTGTGCCTGTTTCCTCCTCCTTTCTGTCCCTTCTGGTCACCTTCCTCCTCTTCTTCCCTCTCACTTC